TGCGTCCCAGTCGTGGAGGTCTTCCTTGCGTCCCAGTCGTGGAGATCTTCCTTGCGTCCCCGTCGTGAAGATCTTCCTTGCGTCCCAGTCGTGGAGGTCTTCCTTGCGTCCCAGTCGTGGAGATCTTCCTTGCGTCCCAGTCGTGAAGATCTTCCTTGCGTCCCAGTCGTGCATGTGCTACAGTTATAGCTCATTTGTAGAGTTGCTTGAGGCCTCGACTTTATTAACTGGAGCTCAAGCTTTCAAGGTACAATAATACTGAAGATTGTAATCGAAAATCTTTTATGAAATGTTACGCTACGCTTAGAGCAAACTACTGTCCGCGTGTAGAGCGAACTACTGTCCGCGTGTAGAGCGAACTACTGTCCGCGTGTAGAGCGAACTACTGTCCGCGTGTAGAGCGAACTACTGTCCGCGTGTAGAGCGAACTACTGTCCGCGTGTAGAGCGAACTACTGTCCGCGTGTAGAGCGAACTACTGTACGCGTGTAGAGCGAACTACTGTACGCGTGTAGAGCGAACTACTGTCCGCGTGTAGAGCGAACTACTGTCCGCGTGTAGAGCGAACTACTGTCCGCGTGTAGAGCGAACTACTGTCCGCGTGTAGAGCGAACTACTGTCCGCGTGTAGAGCGAACTACTGTCCGCGTGTAGAGCGAACTACTGTCCGCGTGTAGAGCGAACTACTGTCCGCGTGTAGAGCGAACTACTGTACGCGTGTAGAGCGAACTACTGTACGCGTGTAGAGCGAACTACTGTACGCGTGTAGAGCGAACTACTGTACGCGTGTAGAGCGAACTACTGTACGCGTGTAGAGCGAACTACTGTACGCGTGTAGAGCGAACTACTGTACGCGTGTAGAGCGAACTACTGTACGCGTGTAGAGCGAACTACTGTACGCGTGTAGAGCGAACTACTGTACGCGTGTAGAGCGAACTACTGTACGCGTGTAGAGCGAACTACTGTACGCGTGTAGAGCGAACTACTGTACGCGTGTAGAGCGAACTACTGTACGCGTGTAGAGCGAACTACTGTACGCGTGTAGAGAGAACTACTGTACGCGTGTAGAGAGAACTACTGTACGCGTGTAGAGAGAACTACTGTACGCGTGTAGAGAGAACTACTGTACGCGTGTAGAGAGAACTACTGTACGCGTGTAGAGAGAACTACTGTACGCGTGTAGAGAGAACTACTGTACGCGTGTAGAGAGAACTACTGTACGCGTGTAGAGAGAACTACTGTACGCGTGTAGAGAGAACTACTGTACATGTAGAGAGAACTACTGTACGCGTGTAGAGAGAACTACTGTACGCGTGTAGAGAGAGAACTACTGTACATGTAGAGAGAGAACTACTGTATGCGTGTAGAGAGAGAACTACTGTACACGTATAGAGAGAGAACTACTGTACGCGTGTAGAGAGAACTACTGTACGCGTGTAGAGAGAACTACGGTACGTATGTAGAGAGAACTACTGTACGCGTGTAGAGAGAGAACTACTGTACATGTAGAGAGAGAACTACTGTATGCGTGTAGAGAGAGAACTACTGTAAACGTATAGAGAGAGAACTACTGTACGAGTGTAGAGAGAGAACTACTGTACACGTGTAGAGAGAGAACTACTGTACACGTGTAGAGAGAGAAATACTGTACACGTGTAGAGAGAGAAATACTGTACGCGTGTAGAGAGAGAACTACTGTACATGTAGAGAGAGAACTACTGTACATGTAGAGAGAGAACTACTGTACATGTAGAGAGAGAACTACTGTACATGTAGAGAGAGAACTACTGTACGCGTGTAGAGAGAACTACTGTACGTGTAGAGAGAACTACTGTACACGTGTAGAGAGAGAAATACTGTACGCGTGTAGAGAGAACTACTGTACGTGTAGAGAGAACTACTGTACACGTGTAGAGAGAACTACTGTACGTGTAGAGAGAACTACTGTACACGTGTAGAGAGAGAACTACTGTACGCGTGTAGAGAGAGAACTACTGTACACGTGTAGAGAGAGAACTACTGTACGTGTAGAGAGAGAACTACTGTACGAGTGTAGAGAGAGAAATACTGTACACGTGTAGAGAGAGAACTACTGTATGCGTGTAGAGAGAACTACTGTACGCGTGTAGAGAGAACTACTGTACGTGTAGAGAGAACTACTGTATCCGTAGAGAACACTACTGTATGTGTAGAGAGAGAACTACTGTATGCGTGTAGAGAGAACTACTGTATGCGTAGAGAGAGAGAACTACTGTATGCGTGTAGAGAGAACTACTGTATGCGTAGAGAGAGAACTACTGTATGCGTGTAGAGAGAACTACTGTATGCGTGTAGAGAGAACTACTGTATGCGTGTAGAGAGAACTACTGTACGCATGTAGAGAGAACTACTGTATGCGTGTAGAGAGAACTACTGTACGCGTGTAGAGAGAACTACTGTATGCGTGTAGAGAGAACTACTGTATGCGTGTAGAGAGAACTACTGTACGCATGTAGAGAGAACTACTGTATGCGTGTAGAGAGAACTACTGTACGCGTGTAGAGAGAACTACTGTATGCGTAGAGAGAACTACTGTATGCGTGTAGAGAGAACTACTGTATGCGTGTAGAGAGAACTACTGTATGCGTAGAGAGAACTACTGTATGCGTGTAGAGAGAACTACTGTATGCGTGTAGAGAGAACTACTGTATGCGTGTAGAGAGAACTACTGTACGCGTGTAGAGAGAACTACTGTACGCGTGTAGAGAGAACTACGGTACGCATGTAGAGAGAACTACTGTACGCGTGTAGAGAGAGAACTACTGTACATGTAGAGAGAGAACTACTGTATGCGTGTAGAGAGAGAACTACTGTACACGTATAGAGAGAGAACTACTGTACGAGTGTAGAGAGAGAACTACTGTACGAGTGTAGAGAGAGAACTACTGTACACGTGTAGAGAGAGAAATACTGTACACGTGTAGAGAGAGAAATACTGTACGCGTGTAGAGAGAGAACTACTGTACATGTAGAGAGAGAACTACTGTACATGTAGAGAGAGAACTACTGTACATGTAGAGAGAGAACTACTGTACATGTAGAGAGAGAACTACTGTACGCGTGTAGAGAGAACTACTGTATGCGTAGAGAGAACTACTGTATGCGTAGAGAGAACTACTGTATGCGTGTAGAGAGAACTACTGTATGCGTGTAGAGAGAACTACTGTACGCGTGTAGAGAGAACTACTGTATGCGTAGAGAGAACTACTGTATGCGTAGAGAGAACTACTGTATGCGTGTAGAGAGAACTACTGTATGCGTGTAGAGAGAACTACTGTATGCGTGTAGAGAGAACTACTGTACGCGTGTAGAGAGAACTACTGTATGCGTAGAGAGAACTACTGTATGCGTAGAGAGAACTACTGTATGCGTAGAGAGAACTACTGTATGCGTAGAGAACACTACTGTATGTGTAAAGAGAGAGAACTACTGTATGCGTGTAGAGAGAACTACTGTATGCGTAGAGAGAGAGAACTACTGTATGCGTATAGAGAGAACTACTGTATGCGTAGAGAGAACTACTGTATGCGTGTAGAGAGAACTACTGTATGCGTGTAGAGAGAACTACTGTATGCGTGTAGAGAGAACTACTGTATGCGTAGAGAGAGAACTACTGTATGCGTAGAGAGAACTACTGTACGCATGTAGAGAGAACTACTGTATGCGTAGAGAGAGAGAACTACTGTATGCGTGTAGAGAGAATTACTGTACACGTGTAGAGAGAACTACTGTACACGTGTAGAGAGAACTACTGTATGTGTAGAGAGAGAACTACTGTGTGCGTGTAGAGAGAACTACTGTACATGTAGAGAGAGAACTACTGTACGCATGTACAGAGAACTACTGTACGTGTAGAGAGAGAACTACTGTACGCATAGAGAGAACTACTGTACACGTGTAGAGAGAACTACTGTACGCATAGAGAGAACTACTGTATGCGTGTAGAGAGAACTACTGTATGCGTAGAGAGAGAACTACTGTATGCGTAGAGAGAACTACTGTACGCATGTAGAGAGAACTACTGTATGCGTGTAGAGCGAACTACTGTCCGCGTGTAGAGCGAACTACTGTCCGCGTGTAGAGCGAACTACTGTCCGCGTGTAGAGCGAACTACTGTCCGCGTGTAGAGCGAACTACTGTACGCGTGTAGAGCGAACTACTGTACGCGTGTAGAGAGAACTACTGTACGTGTAGAGAGAGAACTACTGTACGCATAGAGAGAACTACTGTACACGTGTAGAGAGAACTACTGTATGCGTGTAGAGAGAACTACTGTATGCGTGTAGAGAGAACTACTGTATGCGTGTAGAGAGAACTACTGTATGCGTGTAGAGAGAACTACTGTATGCGTGTAGAGAGAACTACTGTATGCGTAGAGAGAGAACTACTGTATGCGTGTAGAGAGAACTACTGTATGCGTGTAGAGAGAACTACTGTATGCGTGTAGAGAGAACTACTGTACGCATGTAGAGAGAACTACTGTATGCGTAGAGAGAACTACTGTATGCGTGTAGAGAGAACTACTGTACGCGTGTAGAGAGAACTACTGTATGCGTAGAGAGAACTACTGTATGCGTAGAGAGAACTACTGTATGCGTAGAGAGAACTACTGTATGCGTGTAGAGAGAACTACTGTATGCGTGTAGAGAGAACTACTGTACGCGTGTAGAGAGAACTACTGTATGCGTAGAGAGAACTACTGTATGCGTAGAGAGAACTACTGTACACGTGTAGAGAGAACTACTGTATGTGTAGAGAGAGAACTACTGTACGCGTGTAGAGAGAACTACTGTACGCGTGTAGAGAGAACTACTGTACGTGTAGAGAGAACTACTGTACGCGTAGAGAGAACTACTGTATGCGTGTAGAGAGAACTACTGTACGTGTAGAGAGAACTACTGTATGTGTAGAGAGAGAACTACTGTATGCGTGTAGAGAGAACTACTGTACGTGTAGAGAGAGAACTACTGTACGTGTAGAGAGAACTACTGTATGTGTAGAGAGAGAACTACTGTATGCGTGTAGAGAGAACTACTGTATGCGTAGAGAGAACTACTGTACACGTGTAGAGAGAACTACTGTATGCGTAGAGAACACTACTGTATGTGTAGAGAGAGAACTACTGTATGCGTGTAGAGAGAACTACTGTACACGTGTAGAGAGAACTACTGTATGCGTAGAGAGAGAACTACTGTATTCGTAGAGAGAGAACTACTGTATGCATGTAGAGAGAACTACTGTATGCATAGAGAGAACTACTGTGCGTGTAGAGAGAGAACTACTGTACGCGTGTAGAGAGAGAACTACTGTATGCGTGTAGAGAGAACTACTGTACACGCGTAGAGAGAACTACTGTATGCGTAGAGAGAGAACTACTGTATGCGTAGAGAGAGAACTACTGTATGCGTAGAGAGAGAACTACTGTATGCATGTAGAGAGAACTACTGTATGCATAGAGAGAACTACTGTGCGTGTAGAGAGAGAACTACTGTACGCGTGTAGAGAGAGAACTACTGTATGCGTGTAGAGAGAACTACTGTATGCATAGAGAGAACTACTGTGCGTGTAGAGAGAGAACTACTGGTTTGATAAGAACTACTTAGCAAAACTAAAACACTTATATTAACGTTTTCTAGGCATCGACCACTATAGGTTTGGAGGGATGCTTGGGTTAGTAAGCTTCTGCTTAGACAAACCAGTTGCATTTTTTACGGAGTGGCTAAGTGGAGAGCAGGATCCGGATGTAGTGATCTAGACAGCGACACAGAGAGGACTCTTCTGCAGGAGACAGTCCTCGTCCGTCATGTAGAAGTAGTGCTGGTAGGAGAGGGCGGCGCAGTAGCCCCGCTCCGAGGGCTCCGGGGCCTGGCGGTAGTGGTAGCAGGTGGCACGGTTGGCCTGGCGGGTGGTCTGCCCCGCTGTCGTCAGGTTCCTGGTCTGGCACTCCTCGTACTGCCTGTGGTCAGGAGGCCTTGTTAGTGGGAGGCAAGGCCTTGTTAGTGGGAGGCAAGGCCTTGTTAGTGGGAGGCAAGGCCTTGTTAGTGGGAGGCAAGGCCTTGTTAGTGGGAGGCAAGGCCTTGTTAGTGGGAGGCAAGGCCCTGTTAGTGGGAGGCAAGGCCCTGTTAGTGGGAGGCAAGGCCCTGTTAGTGGGAGGCAAGGCCTTGTTAGTGGGAGGCAAGGCCCTGTTAGTGGGAGGCAAGGCCCTGTTAGTGGGAGGCAAGGCCTTGTTAGTGGGAGGCAAGGCCTTGTTAGTGGGAGGCAAGGCCTTGTAGTGGGAGGCAAGGCCCTGTTAGTGGGAGGCAAGGCCCTGTTAGTGGGAGGCAAGGCCCTGTTAGTGGGAGGCAAGGCCTTGTTAGTGGGAGGCAAGGCCCTGTTAGTGGGAGGCAAGGCCTTGTTAGTGGGAGGCAAGGCCTTGTTAGTGGGAGCCAAGGCCTTGTTAGTGGGAGGCAAGGCCTTGTTAGTGGGAGGCAAGGCCCTGTTAGTGGGAGGCAAGGCCCTGTTAGTGGGAGGCAAGGCCTTGTTAGTGGGAGGCAAGGCCCTGTTAGTGGGAAGCAAGGCCTTGTTAGTGGGAGGCAAGGCCCTGTTAGTGGGAGGCAAGGCCCTGTTAGTGGGAGGCAAGGCCTTGTTAGTGGGAGGCAAGGCCTTGTTAGTGGGAGGCAAGGCCTTGTTAGTGGGAGGCAAGGCCTTGTTAGTGGGAGGCAAGGCCTTGTTAGTGGGAGGCAAGGCCTTGTTAGTGGGAGGCAAGGCCTTGTTAGTGGGAGGCAAGGCCTTGTTAGTGGGAGGCAAGGCCCTGTTAGTGGGAGGCAAGGCCCTGTTAGTGGGAGGCAAGGCCCTGTTAGTGGGAGGCAAGGCCCTGTTAGTGGGAGGCAAGGCCCTGTTAGTGGGAGGCAAGGCCTTGTTAGTGGGAGGCAAGGCCCTGTTAGTGGGAGGCAAGGCCCTGTTAGTGGGAGGCAAGGCCTTGTTAGTGGGAGGCAAGGCCTTGTTAGTGGGAGGCAAGGCCCTGTTAGTGGGAGGCAAGGCCTTGTTAGTGGGAGGCAAGGTCCTTGTAGGTAAACCCAGCACCATAATGACCCTAAGGGACAAGCCAAGAGTGACCCATGAGAGAGGTGGCGGACTGCAGTAAGTCGAGGGACTTTCTGCGTGAAATCCAATGAGAAAGAGAAATGGAAGAGAATACAGCAAATAAGACGATAAGACATATTACAGGGAAATGTGTCGTTGTAAACCTCATGCCACTCGAGGAGGAGGAGGAGGTAGAAGTAAAAGTAAAAGGGATCCAATAGACAATGCCGGGAAGCTAAAGAAAGGAAAAAATAAAAAAAAAATTACAGAGAACTAGAAACACCGAACACTAGAGAGGCACTAAAGAGGGCCGGAAATTAATGCAATTAAGTCAGGAGAGAAGCCGAGAGGCAATTTGAAGATGGCATTGACCCAAAAGCTAAGGTCCAACCATAGGCGTTCTACAGCCACACAAGGAGAAAAACAACAGTGTGCAACCCCGTGAGACCATGTGCTCAGACTGAAGAAACAAGGGGGCAAGTCTCACATTAAGTTATAATGAGGTGTGTGAGGAAGTCAACAAAAGATTTCAGGAAGCCTTTACAATAGAACTAGTGTAGAAACCTGGGTTGTGGGATGACAGACCGCAAGAAAGAGTGGCTGACATATAAGTCACAGTCACTGTAGAAGGGGCATAAAGTCACCTGGAGGAACTAGAGGTGACAATAACAATGGGACCAGACCTAACCTCATCATGACTACAGAAAAAGACTGCAGAAATACTTTGTCACCAGTTATTTACAATTTTAAAAATAATAGTAGACACGTGAATTCTCCCTGAAGTTTGCTAAACGACAAATGTAGTCTCAATATTAAAAAAGGGAGTTGACCAAAGGCAGTAAATCATAGATCAGTGTCACTGACAAGTATTCCATGTAAAGTGCTGGAGAAAGTAATCGAGTTGAGAATGGTGGAGCATCTGGAGAGGACCAGCTGTGTCACAAGAGATGAGTATGGATTTAGTAGGGAAAAGTCGTGCCTGGCAAACTTGACCGAGTTCTATGACAGGGTTACGAAAATAAGACACGGAAAAGAAGACTGGACAGACCATATTTTCCTAGATTGATTCTTAGAACAGAAAGCCTTCGACACTGTTCCTTATGAAAGGACGGTGAACAAGATGAACACGGTTGGAATAATTGTGAAAGCACTGAACTGGGTAAGGGAGTACCTGAAGGACAAAGCATAAGAGTCGCAGTAAAGCAGAGGTTTTAAGCTGGAGGAATGTAACAAGTGGAGTCAAACAGGCCTTCAGCTTCTGTTCCTAATTTATGTGAACAACCTACCCTAGTGACCTCGTACATTTCCAAGTATACAGACGATGCAAAGCTGATGAGGAAGGTAAAAACAGAGGACGACTGCAGAACGTTACAGGAGACCGTGGCAAACTCCAGATGTGGGTAAACAAATTGTTGCTGAAATTCATTCCGAACAAGTATAAGGTAACGAAGACGGGAAAGGGAAAAAGAAGACCAGAAGGCATCTACAACATAAGGGAACGGCAGCTACAGGAATCGGAAAGAAGAGAAAAACTTAAGTGTTTGAATTATATCGACTCCCAACACCATAGGCACACAAAGAGGACAACATCGGCAGCATATAAGACGCTGGCAAATATAAGAACATTTAGAAGCTTAAATCAGGACTCCTTCAAGGTAAGCTACACAACAATTTTTAAATACCGGAATATGCAGCACCGGCATGGAATCCGAACCTTGTGAGGCATAAAACCAAAATTCAAAAAGTATAGAAGTTTGCAACAAGACTAGTGTCAGACTAAGAGGATTAAGCTAAGAGGACAGACTAATGGAACTAAATCCAAACTCTAGAGGATAAAATAGTAGATATGATCACAAAATACAAGATACCGAGGGGGAATAGACAAGGTGGGCAAGGACAGCCTCTTAAAATTAAATGTGTAGGACAAGAGGCCACAGGTGGAACCTGGAAATGCAAATGAGCCGAAGCAATATAAGAAAATATCCTTACTATGTATTGGTAATCACGAAGTGGAGTGCACTGACAGAAGTTGTGGAAGCCAGCTCTATCCAGAGCTTTAAGGCCAGCTTCGACAAAGAACTTGAACGTCAGAATAGTTAAATGATAACGCATCAGGTACAAGGCCAATAGACGGGGCAAAAAGAGCAAGAATATGAGTCCTTGCTCTTTTCGCCCCGTCTACTGGGAGGGCAAAAAAGGCCCTAATTTGAAAATGAAAAATAATTGAAAATAAATTTTGGATTTTTTTTCTCTAAAACAGCAAGTTAAGGGTCCTCTGGTAGGTTAGGAGGGCAGGATGTTTTCCTAAGGTTCCAAAACGTCATGAAAACCGTTAATTGAAAGTTTCCTCACCTAACCTAACAGCCTAAGTCAAAAGACCCAAAACAGAGAACGGAACAGTACGTTACTTTCAAGAGTCGATCCCATTTTTAATTACGTTATTTTTTAACCTGTGTGCGCATACGAGCGAAAAGTGATGTTATTTGTGCGAGGACGGGTTGCATCTACCTGACAGCCCAGTAGGGGGAGCCGAGCACCATGGGAGACTCGTCTATCCAGGTCCAGCCGTGTCCCTTCTCCATCTGGCGCCCACCCAGCCAGAAGTCCGTAGTCAGCTCTGCAACGCAACAGAGACGCATCTTCTACAATATGAACAACTTGTCAATTCGTATATGTTAAACTTGTTTGAGACAAACAATTTGCCCCTGTAAAGAAAAAAAGTATTAAATACACAGATATGTTAAATCGGAGCCTCAAAGCCTCAATTTTGAGATGTTTCAGAAGCATGTTGTAATAAATGAGTCAGGTCTGAAAAACGGCTAAAACTGTACTTTAAGCTGACGACGTCCCTTTACACATTACACCTTAACATTAAAACGCTCACCCCAATACTTTAAGCGTTGACTTGGGTAAGCTTAACCAATGTAGGTCCATCCTTTAATGAGGAGCCTGACGATCAATAGGACACGCACAGGTCAGGTGCCCAAAGGTTCAAAGCCTCTCCTTCATGTAGTTAATAATGAGTAATTGCGGTCGACGGGATCCACACTTACATATGTTAGACATAAATATATACAGAATAAATGTCATCACAAAAACCTAGAGAACATATTTTTGGTTTAGCTTTAAAATTAATATACAAGTCTTATCTACACTCACGTTATGTACTTTAACTGTGATCTTATGAATAAATCTTAATCTTAAGAATAATTGAAGTAGCCCTCAAGAAAGAACGGAGAACATTGTCAAAAGAAGGTATTGAACCCTCAGCACTGGTCGTAAACATAACAATATTATCATAGAATATAAGTGCAACAGATTCCTTCCGAGACCTTCAAAACATTGTTTTTTTTTGACAATATTAAATAAAACTCCTCTGAAAAATAAAAAAATATCTTGTAAGCAATCGTCTTACATCTATGTGTTAATAAAACTGAAGATGATAGAGGCAGTGAGAAGCCAGACATAAAGAAGTGATGGGAAGTGAAGGTACTGACGGTGCTCCTGCAGGTGTTGGAGGACGGTGGAGAAGTGACTGACGCTCTTGAAGGTGAGGAGGTCGCCGTTGATCACCTTGCAGAACGCCCGCGCCTCCCCCCAGCTCACCTGAGTCAACACAAACATCACTTGAAAACTATTACTGTAAGTGTCATCAGTTCAAAAGGACATCTTTAGGTAGGTCTTAGTTATATATCGTGTGTCTCTACCCTACCATTCATAATTAAAGTGTAATTATTGTCTAACGTACAATAGGGGAGAGAGACAGAGACAGATAGACAGGCAGACAGACAGACAGAGACAGAGACAAATAGACAGAGACAGAGACAAACAGACAGAGACAGACAAAGACAAAGAGAGTACCTTGCCAACAGAGAAGACGGAGAGGCACTGTTCCCCGACGACAGTGTACATGTCTGGACAGTCTGGGTGGTTGATGGTGTTGTTAAGGATGGCCACCAGATCATCACCCAGCAGCTCGCTCCGTCGCCAGCTCTGCTCTGCACCAGCACCAAACCAGTCGTTAAACACACACTCTCTCATACTATTTCACCACCAACGGTAGAAATGACAGGTAAAACCCGGTCATATATTCACTAATATTGCAGCCTCGACCGTGCAACAAAGCGATCTGCGCTCGAGATGGCAAAGATGACATCAGTGATGTCTTAGTGGCAAGACTTACCTTGGGCGTCGGCGTCAGGCAGGATGATGGAGGTGAAGGACTGGACGGTGTTGTCGAGCAGCACCTGTGGTGATGGGCAGAACTTCAGGGTATACACTGCTGGAGCATGTGGAGCATGTGCTACATGAGCGGATGAGTGGGGGAAGAGGTGAGGTATGAGGCACACCGGGAGTGGTATGAGGTTGGAGTGCAGTGTGAGTTACAAGTGACATGAGGCTGATGGGAGATGAGAACAGCAGTATAAGTCATATGAGGATAGGGGTGAGGCGTCAGATACAATATAAATGGCATGAGGGTGAGGTGTCAATTGCAACACTAATAGTTGCAGTATGATGCAGGTCGGGGCACAGACGAGACACACAAAGATACTCACTCTGCACATCTTGGGGTCGACGTCGCCCTCGCAGGGTGGGTCGCTCTGCTGGCAGTAGTTGAGGACCCGCATACACTCCATCTGACCATTCCTGCGGCAGTTAACCTCGCCCTTGTCACACGTGTAGTGCGACTTGAACGCCTGCAATACAGATCTATAATCGCTCTACTCCTCCTCCTGCTGCTCTCTGAACATACAGATTTATTTTCAACCATTAACGTGTATATGGTTGTATATTATATACCTGATCAAAATATGCTCTACTTGCTGGGGAGGAAACACAGCAGCAGCTACATGACAGTGGCAGGAGGAGGAAGGATAGCAACTGTCAGTGCAGGAAGGGGGAGTTGCAGCTTCAAGTACAGTGCAGGAAGGGGGAGTTGCAGCTTCAAGTACAGTGTAGGAAGAACATTTGCAGGCTAAGGCTCACGTCCTCTCACACGACACCCTCGCATTTTGACGTCAAAATTCACAAGCGGAGATATAAAGGAGTACCAGAAATCACAGCGGCTCACATTCACGTTTTCTATGAAGCGTCGATAGGTTAAGTTGGGTTTATGAGCTTCAGTGCACTGTCCGTTGTGGCGCGACTCTGGAGGACGGTCTGGGCTGAGACAAAACACACAAAGAGCATTTTGGGCTTCAAGCATACTGCAGGAAGAAAGAGGATTTAGGCCTCAGAGTACACAAACAACATTTCAGATTGCAAGAAAATGTGCAAGAGAAACATTTGAAGGAAGAACATTTTCAACTGCAAGTATTGAGGAACAGTTCCAGTTGAATATTTAGTGCAGGACGGACGTTTTCAGCTGAGGTTCAGTTAAAGAAACAGTAACATTTGCAGCTGCAGGTAGAGTGCAGGAGGAACATCAACAGCTGTGGGTAGAGTGCAGGAGGAGCATCAACAGCTGTGGGTAGAGTGCAGGAGGAGCATCAACAGCTGCGGGTAGAGTGCAGGAGGAGCATCAACAGCTGTGGGTAGAGTGCAGGAGGAGCATCAACAGCTGTGGGTAGAGTGCAGGAGGAGCATCAACAGCTGCAGGTAGAGTGCAGGAGGAGCATCAACAGCTGTGGGTAGAGTGCAGGAGGAGCATCAACAGCTGCAGGTAGAGTGTAGGAGGAGCATCAACAGCTGCAGGTAGAGTGCAGGAGGAGCATCAACAGCTGTGGGTAGAGTGCAGGAGGAGCATCAACAGCTGCAGGTAGAGTGCAGGAGGAGCATCAACAGCTGTGGGTAGAGTGCAGGAGGAGCATCAACAGCTGTGGGTAGAGTGCAGGAGGAGCATCAACAGCTGTGGGTAGAGTGCAGGAGGAGCATCAACAGCTGTAGGTAGAGTGCAGGAGGAGCATCAACAGTTGTGGGTAGAGTGTAGGAGGAGCATCAACAGCTGCAGGTAGAGTGCAGGAGGAGCATCAACAGCAGCAGGTAGAGTGCAGGAGGAGCATCAACAGCTGCAGGTAGAGTGCAGGAGGAGCATCAACAGCTGTGGGTAGAGTGCAGGAGCATCAACAGCTGCAGGTAGAGTGCAGGAGGAGCATCAACAGCTGTAGGTAGAGTGCAGGAGGAGCATCAACAGCTGCAGGTAGAGTGCAGGAGGAGCATCAACAGCTGTGGGTAGAGTGCAGGAGGAGCATCAACAGCTGCAGGTAGAGTGCAGGAGGAGCATCAACAGCTGTGGGTAGAGTGCAGGAGGAGCATCAACAGCTGCTGGTAGAGTGCAGGAGGAGCATCAACAGCTGTGGGTAGAGTGCAGGAGGAGCATCAACAGCTGCAGGTAGAGTGCAGGAGGAGCATCAACAGCTGCAGGTAGAGTGCAGGAGGAGCATCAACAGCTGCAGGTAGAGTGCAGGAGGAGCATCTACAGCTGCAGGTAGAGTGCAGGAGGAGCATCAACAGCTGCAGGTAGAGTGCAGGAGGAGCATCAACAGCTGTGGGTAGAGTGCAGCTGCAGGTAGAGTGCAGGAGGAGCATCAACAGCTGCAGGTAGAGTGCAGGAGGAGCATCAACAGCTGCAGGTAGAGTGCAGGAGGAGCATCAACAGCTGCAGGTAGAGTGCAGGAGGAGCATCTACAGCTGCAGGTAGAGTGCAGGAGGAGCATCAACAGCTGCAGGTAGAGTGCAGGAGGAGCATCAACAGCTGTGGGTAGAGTGCAGGAGGAGCATCAACAGCAGGAGAGTGCAGCATCAACAGCTGCTGCAGGTAGAGTGCAGGAGGAGCATCAACAGCTGCAGGTAGAGTGCAGGAGGAGCATCAACAGCTGTGGGTAGAGTGCAGGAGGAGCATCAACAGCTGCAGGTAGAGTGCAGGAGGAGCATCAACAGCTGTGGGTAGAGTGCAGGAGGAGCATCAACAGCTGCAGGTAGAGTGCAGGAGGAGCATCAACAGCTGTGGGTAGAGTGCAGGAGGAGCATCAACAGCTGCAGGTAGAGTGCAGGAGGAGCATCAACAGCTGCAGGTAGAGTGCAGGAGGAGCATCAACAGCTGCAGGTAGAGTGCAGGAGGAGCATCAACAGCTGCAGGTAGAGTGCAGGAGGAGCATCAACAGCTGCAGGTAGAGTGCAGGAGGAGCATCAACAGCTGTGGGTAGAGTGCAGGAGGAGCATCAACAGCAGGAGGAGGTAGAGTGCAGGAGGAGCATCAACAGCTGTGGGTAGAGTGCAGGAGGAGCATCAACAGCTGCAGGTAGAGTGCAGGAGGAGCATCAACAGCTGCAGGTAGAGTGCAGGAGGAGCATCAACAGCTGTGGGTAGAGTGCAGGAGGAGCATGCAGGTAGAGTGCAGGAGGAGCATCAACAGCTGTAGGTAGAGTGCAGGAGGAGCATCAACAGCTGCAGGTAGAGTGCAGGAGGAGCATCAACAGCTGCAGGTAGAGTGCAGGAGGAGCATCAACAGCTGCAGGTAGAGTGCAGGAGGAGCATCAACAGCTGTGGGTAGAGTGCAGGAGGAGCATCAACAGCTGCAGAGTGCAGGAGGAGCATCAACAGCTGTGGGTAGAGTGCAGGAGGAGCATCAACAGCTGCAGGTAGAGTGCAGGAGGAGCATCAACAGCTGCAGGTAGAGTGCAGGAGGAGCATCAACAGCTGCAGGTAGAGTGCAGGAGGAGCATCAACAGCTGAGGTAGAGTGCAGGAGGAGCATCAACAGCTGCAGGTAGAGTGCAGGAGGAGCATCAACAGCTGCAGGTAGAGTGCAGCTGCAGGTGGGTAGAGTGCAGGAGGAGCATCAACAGCTGCAGGTAGAGTGCAGGAGGAGCATCAACAGCTGTGGGTAGAGTGCAGGAGCATCAACAGAGCATCAACAGCTGCAGGTAGAGTGCAGGAGGAGCATCAACAGCTGTGGGTAGAGTGCAGGAGGAGCATCAACAGCTGCAGGTAGAGTGCAGGAGGAGCATCAACAGCTGCAGGTAGAGTGCAGGAGGAGCATCAACAGCTGCAGGTAGAGTGCAGGAGGAGCATCAACAGCTGCAGGTAGAGTGCAGGAGGAGCATCAACAGCTGCAGGTAGAGTGCAGGAGGAGCATCAACAGCTGCAGGTAGAGTGCAGGAGGAGCATCAACAGCTGCAGGTAGAGTGCAGGAGGAGCATCAACAGCTGTGGGTAGAGTGCAGGAGGAGCATCAACAGCTGCAGGTAGAGTGCAGGAGGAGCATCAACAGCTGTAGAGTGGGAGGAGCATCAGAGTGCAGGAGGAGCATCAACAGCTGCAGGTAGAGTGCAGGAGGAGCATCAACAGCTGTGGGTAGAGTGCAGGAGGAGCATCAACAGCTGCAGGTAGAGTGCAGGAGGAGCATCAACAGCTGCAGGTAGAGTGCAGGAGAGTGCAGGAGGATCAACAGCTGTGGGTAGAGTGCAGGAGGAGCATCAACAGCTGCAGGTAGAGTGCAGGAGGAGCATCAACAGCTGCAGGTAGAGTGCAGGAGGAGCATCAACAGCTGTGGGTAGAGTGCAGGAGGAGCATCAACAGCTGCAGGTAGAGTGCAGGAGGAGCATCAACAGCTGTGGGTAGAGTGCAGGAGGAGCATCAACAGCTGCAGGTAGAGTGCAGGAGGAGCATCAACAGCTGTGGGTAGAGTGCAGGAGGAGCATCAACAGCTGTGGGTAGAGTGCAGGAGGAGCATCAACAGCAGCAGGTAGAGTGCAGGAGGAGCATCAACAGCTGTGGGTAGAGTGCAGGAGGAGCATCAACAGCTGCAGGTAGAGTGCAGGAGGAGCATCAACAGCTGCAGGTAGAGTGCAGGAGGAGCATCAACAGCTGCAGGTAGAGTGCAGGAGGAGCATCAACAGCTGCAGGTAGAGTGCAGGAGGAGCATCAACAGCTGCAGGTAGAGTGCAGGAGGAGCATCAACAGCTGCAGGTAGAGTGCAGGAGGAGCATCAACAGCTGCAGGTAGAGTGCAGGAGGAGCATCAACAGCTGTGGGTAGAGTGCAGGAGGAGCATCAACAGCAGCAGGTAGAGTGCAGGAGGAGCATCAACAGCTGTGGGTAGAGTGCAGGAGGAGCATCAACAGCTGCAGGTAGAGTGCAGGAGGAGCATCAACAGCTGTGGGTAGAGTGCAGGAGGAGCATTAACAGCTGTGGGTAGAGTGCAGGAGGAGCATCAACAGCAGCAGGTAGAGTGCAGGAGGAGCATCAACAGCTGTGGGTAGAGTGCAGGAGGAGCATCAACAGCTGCAGGTAGAGTGCAGGAGGAGCATCAACAGCTGTGGGTAGAGTGCAGGAGGAGCATCAACAGCTGTGGGTAGAGTGCAGGAGGAGCATCAACAGCTGTGGAGGAGCATAGAGTGCAGGAGGAGCATCAACAGCTGTGGGTAGAGTGCAGGAGGAGCATCAACAGCTGCAGGTAGAGTACAGGAGGAGCATCAACAGCTGCAGGTAGAGTGCAGGAGGAGCATCAACAGCTGTGGGTAGAGTGCAGGAGGAGCATCAACAGCTGCAGGTAGAGTGCAGGAGGAGCATCAACAGCAGCAGGTAGAGTGCAGGAGGAGCATCAACAGCTGCAGGTAGAGTGCAGGAGGAGCATCAACAGCTGCAGGTAGAGTGCAGGAGGAGCATCAACAGCTGCAGGTAGAGTGCATCAACAGCTGCAGGTAGAGTGCAGGAGGAGCATCAACAGCTGTAGGTAGAGTGCAGGAGGAGCATCAGCTGCAGTAGTAGAGTGCAGGAGGAGCATCAACAGCTGTGGGTAGAGTGCAGGAGGAGCATCAACAGCTGCAGGTAGAGTGCAGGAGGAGCATCAACAGCTGCAGGTAGAGTGCAGGAGGAGCATCAACAGCAGGGTAGAGTGCAGGAGGAGCATCAACAGCTGCAGGTAGAGTGCAGGAGGAGCATCAACAGCTGTGGGTAGAGTGCAGGAGGAGCATCAACAGCAGCAGGTAGAGTGCAGGAGGAGCATCAACAGCTGTGGGTAGAGTGCAGGAGGAGCATCAACAGCTGCAGGTAGAGTGCAGGAGGAGCATCAACAGCTGCAGGTAGAGTGCAGGAGGAGCATCAACAGCTTGGGCAGAGTGCAGGAGGAGCATCAACAGCAGCAGGTAGAGTGCAGGAGGAGCATCAACAGCTGTGGGTAGAGTGCAGGAGGAGCATCAACAGCTGCAGGTAGAGTGCAGGAGGAGCATCAACAGCTGTGGGTAGAGTGCAGGAGGAGCATCAACAGCTGCAGGGTAGAGTGTAGGAGGAGCATCAACAGCTGCAGGTAGAGTGCAGGAGGAGCATCACCAGCTGCAGGTAGAGTGTAGGAGGAGCATCAACAGCTGCAGGTAGAGTGCAGGAGGAGCATCAACAGCTGTAGGTAGAGGTAGAGTGCAGGAGGAGCATCAACAGCTGCAGGGTAGAGTGCAGGAGGAGCATCAACAGCTGGGGGTAGAGTGCAGAAGGAGCATCAACAGCTGCAGGTAGAGTGCAGGAGGAGCATCAACAGCTGTGGGTAGAGTGCAGGAGGGAGCATCAACAGCTGCTGGTAGAGTGCAGGAGGAGCATCAGGAGGAGAGTATCAACAGCTGTGGGTAGATTGCAGGAGGAGCATCAACAGCTGCAGGTAGAGTGCAGGAGGAGCATCAACAGCTGCAGGTAGAGTGCAGGAGGAGCATCAACAGCTGCAGGGTAGAGTGCAGGAGGAGCATCTACAGCTGCAGGTAGAGTGCAGGAGGAGATATCAACAGCTGTGGGTAGAGGAGGAGCATCAACAGCTGCAGGTAGAGTGCAGGAGGAGTATCAACAGCTGTGGGTAGATTGCAGGAAGGAGCATCAACAGCTGCAGGTAGAGTGCAGGAGGAGCATCAACAGCTGTAGGTAGAGTGCAGGAGGAGCATCAACAGCTGCAGGTAGAGTGCAGGAGGAGCATCAACAGCTGTGAGAGTGGGAGGAGCATAGAGTGCAGGAGGAGCATCAACAGCTGCAGATAGAGTGCAGGAGGAGCATCAACAGCTGCAGGTAGAGTGCAGGAGGAGCATCAACAGCTGCAGGTAGAGTGCAGGAGGAGCATCAACAGCTGCAGGTAGAGTGCAGGAGGAGCATCAACAGCTGTGGGTAGAGTGCAGGAGGAGCATCAACAGCAGCAGGTAGAGTGCAGGAGGAGCATCAACAGCTGCAGATAGAGTGCAGGGAGGAGCATCAACAGCTGCAGTTAGAGTGCAGGAGGAGCATCAACAGCTGCAGGTAGAGGTGCAGGAGGAGCATCAACAGCTGCAGGTAGAGTGCAGGAGGAGCATCAACAGCTGTGGGTAGAGTGCAGGAGGAGCATCAACAGCAGCAGGTAGAGTGCAGGAGGAGCATCAACAGCTGTGGGTAGAGTGCAGGAGGAGCATCAACAGCTGTGGGTAGAGTGCAGGAGGAGCATCAACAGCTGCAGGTAGAGTGCAGGAGGAGCATCTACAGCTGCAGGTAGAGTGCAGGAGGAGCATCAACAGCTGTGGGCAGAGTGCAGGAGGAGCATCAACAGCAGCAGGTAGAGTGCAGGAGGAGCATCAACAGCTGTGGGTAGAGTGCAGGAGGAGCATCAACAGCTGCAGGTAGAGTGCAGGAGTATCAACAGCTGTGGGTAGAGTGCAGGAGGAGCATCAACAGCTGCAGGTTAGAGTGCAGGAGGAGCATCTACAGCTGCAGGTAGAGTGCAGGAGGAGCATCAACAGCTGTGGGTAGAGTGCAGGAGGAGCATCAACAGCACAGGTAGAGTGCAGGAGGAGCATCAACAGCTGTGGGTAGAGTGCAGGAGGAGCATCAACAGCTGCTGGTAGAGTGCAGGAGGAGCATCAACAGCTGTGGGTAGAGTGCAGGAGGAGCATCTACAGCTGTGGGTAGAGTGCAGGAGGAGCATCAACAGCAGCAGGTAGAGTGCAGGAGGAGCATCAACAGCTGTGGGTAGAGTGCAGGAGGAGCATCAACAGCTGCAGGTAGAGTGCAGGAGGAGCATCAACAGCTGCAGGTAAAGTGCAGGAGGAGCATCAACAGCTGCAGGTAGAGTGCAGGAGGAGCATCAACAGCTGCAGGTAGAGTGCAGGAGGAGCATCAACAGCTGCAGGTAGAGTGCAGGAGGAGCATCAACAGCTGCAGGTAGAGTGCAGGAGGAGCATCAACAGCAGCAGGTAAAGTGCAGGAGGAGCATCAACAGCTGTGGGTAGAGTGCAGGAGGAGCATCAACAGCAGCAGGTAGAGTGCAGGAGGAGCATCAACAGCTGTGGGTAGAGTGCAGGAGGAGCATCAACAGCTGCAGGTAGAGTGCAGGAGGAGCATCAACAGCTGTGGGTAGAGTGCAGGAGGAGCATTAACAGCTGTGGGTAGAGTGCAGGAGGAGCATCAACAGCAGCAGGTAGAGTGCAGGAGGAGCATCAACAGCTGTGGGTAGGGTGCAGGAGGAGCATCAACAGCTGCAGGTAGAGTGCAGGAGGAGCATCAACAGCTGTGGGTAGAGTGCAGGAGGAGCATCAACAGCTGTGGGTAGAGTGCAGGAGGAGCATCAACAGCTGTGGGTAGAGTGCAGGAGGAGCATCAACAGCAGCAGGTAGAGTGCAGGAGGAGCATCAACAGCTGCAGGTAGAGTGCAGGAGGAGCATCTACAGCTGCAGGTAGAGTGCAGGAGGAGCATCAACAGCTGTGGGTAGAGTGCAGGAGGAGCATCAACAGCTGCAGGTAGAGTGTAGGAGGAGCATCAACAGCTGCAGGTAGAGTGCCGTCAAGGCTCGAGACTGACATAGCAGAGCTCCGGGTCCTCGTCCTCGCCCTCAGCACAGTCGTTGTCGCCGTCACAGATGTAGCGGAGCTTCACGCACTTCGACTCCGACGAGCAGGCGATCTCGTCCTCCCTCAGCGTGCAGTCCAGCCCAGCTGTGAGGGGTAGAGTGTAGGGGTGAGGGGTTGAGTGTGGGGGTGAGGGGTAGAGGGGTAGAGTGTGGGGGTGAGGGGTAGAGTGTGGGGGTGAGGGGTAGAGTGTGGGGGTGAGGGGTAGAGTGTGGGGGTGAGGGGTAGAGTGTAGGGGTGAGGGGTAGAGTGTAGGGGTGAGGGGTAGAGTGTGGGGGTAGAGTGTGGGGGTGAGGGGTAGAGTGTGGGGGTGAGGGGTAGAGTGTAGGGGTGAGGGTTAGAGTGTAGGGGTGAGGGGTAGAGTGTCGGGGTGAGGGGTAGAGTGTGGGGGTAAGGGGTAGAGTGTGGGGGTGAGGGGGTAGAGTGTAGGGGTGAGGGGGTAGAGTGTAGGGGTGAGGGGTAGAGTGTAGGGGTGAGGGGTAGAGTGTGGGGGTGAGGGGTAGAGTGTAGGGGTGAGGGGAAGAGTGTGGGGGTGAGGGGTAGAGTGTGGAGGTGAGGGGTAGAGTGTAGGGGTGAGGGTTAGAGTGTAGGGGTGAGGGGTAGAGTGTCGGGGTGAGGGGTAGAGTGTGGGGGTGAGGGGTAGAGTGTGGGGGTGAGGGGGTAGAGTGTAGGGGTGAGGGGGTAGAGTGTAGGGGTGAGGGGTAGAGTGTAGGGGTGAGGGGTAGAGTGTGGGGGTGAGGGGTAGAGTGTAGGGGTGAGGGGAAGAGTGTGGGGGTGAGGGGTAGAGTGTGGGGGTGAGGGGTAGAGTGTAGGGGTGAGGGGAAGAGTGTGGGGGTGAGGGGTAGAGTGTAGGGGTGAGGGGTAGAGTGTAGGGGTGAGGGGTAGAGTGTGGGGGTGAGGGGTAGAGTGTAGGGGTGAGTATTCGTTTGCCTTAAATTTAAATTTTGCCCCGAGGGGCGAGTTTATTGGGCAGCGCCACTCATCTTGTGAGTGAACATACCGCCATAGCAGAATGTACAACACTCCCCAATAGGAAGAAAACCCGCTGGGTTGTTCATCCTGTCACTTGTACCCAGACACAGCTGGGACTTGCTTAACTGTCTCAAGTGAACAGCTCCTCAAACAAGAAGATTAACATTTATCAACCCTTAAAAGCTTACGTTATCTTGCGGGTGCAAAATGGGGAAATCTTTTAAGAACAGTATCAATATTTGACAAATAGTGTTTTCCTAACTCAAACAATGTGGGGTTTATTATTCTACAGTTATTCCTAATGTCTCTCAGGTGTTCACATTCACGTAGATAGTGGTCAAGGCGGTGTCCATCACTCTCACCACAGATTCTGCAACTTCGCTGATCAACTGTTGTTTCCATTCCAAATCTCCATGGATATTTGTATCCAAGACGGATTCTCGCTATTACAGATTCTCTCACTCGTCGTCCTCCTCTTCGGCCATACTGATTGGGATTGCCAGCTGCAACCATGTTGTACCATCGTACAGATTCACTGGTTTGTGCTTCTATCCTCCTTTCCTCAGTTACCTTGTCACGGTGATGTTGCCTGATAATACCTCTAATTTGTAGTTGAGTCTTGGGTATGAAGTATTCAATATGGTCTCCTTCAGCGCCTTCAGCAGCCAGCGCATCTGCTCGTTCATTCCCACATATTCCAACATGGGAGGGGATCCACAGAAACTTGATGACTCTTCCCTGATCGGTAAGTACTCTCACAGCTCTCTTGATTTCAGCGACTATTGCAAGATTTTCTGCCTGATTTTTACTTAGGCTTTGCAGTGCTGCTTTTGAATCGGTGCAAATCACTGCACCATTAGTGTTCCGTTCAAGAAACCTTAACGCCATAACAATGGCAGTTAGCTCTGCTTGCGTTGAAGAGGCATAGTTCTCAATACGTGCTTTTTCTTCATTTCTGCGTTGGAAGGTATTATCCTTGATTACCGTGTATGCTGCACCAGCCCTGCCATTGATAGGATTAGATGACCCGTCAGTGTAGATTTGATCTAGTTCATCTCCGGCTTCTTTATAAATGTCCTCGAGATACTTGTGCCTCATTTCTTGTGGTATCATGTTGGATTTTTTCATTGCCATTTCATTGATGATGATCTTGCATGAGTCATCCTCCCAGGGAGGTAACCTCTCTACAGGCAGGAGCTCACGGGCTTGCTCAAGCAGGTGAAGCTCTTCAAGGTAGCAGACTGCTCTGTGATGCCATTTTTTGCTTCTCCTGTTTCCCCCTGAAAGTAGCACAGAGCTCAGTTTTTTCTTGGCAATATCATTGTAATGGGGATCTCTGGCTATCCTAATTGCAAGCTTAGCATTCAGCTCCTGAATTCTGCTTTTAATACTGGGAAGGGACAACTCCTCTCGTAGATTAGACGTTTTGGCAGTTCTTGGGACTCCAAGAATGATTGTCATGGCTTCATTTTGAATGCTTTCAAGCCTTTTCATATCGGTTTGGGAGTAGGTGCACAGTACTGGTGCGGCATAGTCTATGACGGAGCGCACATAGGCTGTGTACATCATTTTGAGCACGGCAATTGAGGCTCCATGTCCATTCCAGGTCATAGCTTTCAGTGCCTTGAGTCGACTTTTGCATGTTCCTATGAGTTGATTGAGCTCCTCTTTCTTTCCCTTGTTAGAGCCGACAGTGACGCCAAGGTACCGGTAGTGGTCAACCCATTCAAGTGTTACACCATTAATTTGCAGTTCTTCATTTGCTCTCCGCTTGTGATGGGAGTATGCCTTCGTCTTGTTTGTGGAGAGAGTGAAACCGAGCTCAATACATTTCCTTCCGAGGAGTTCAATGGACTGTTCAATTTTTCCCAAGGTGGGAGCTTGTATTAGGACATCATCTGCATATCCCACTTGTTGTGTTCCTTCCGGAAAATCAATATTTGCAATGGCGTTCATAAGTACATTGAATAGTGTAGGGCTTAAGACTCCGCCTTGGGGGTCCCGAGTTCCATACTCATTGTTCTGGAGACTGCTCCATTGAAGCAAACCTTGGCTTCCCTTCCTGTGAGGTAGTCTTCAACCCATTTCATGAGTCTCCCCTTGACACCCATGCATGCAAGCTCGTCCAGGATCGCAATCCCCTGTGCTTTGTCGAAGGCTCCTTTGATGTCAACAAATACAGAGTACCTAGCCGTGTCATTAACCAAGTAATTAACTATACAATTTGCTGTGCTCCGTCCTTTAACAAATCCATTGACCCCCTCCCCTAACCTGCCTATTTTGTGCAACAGTCGGTTTAGGATGATCCTTTCAAGCATCTTGCAAGTGCATGACACGAGGCTGATAGGTCTGTAATTACCAGGGTCATTAGGCTTCGGTATGGGAATAATTATTGCGTGTTTCCATTGTGTGGGCAACACTCCACTTAGGAATGACTTGTTAAACAGGTGGAGTAGTGGATTCCCAGACACTGCACACAGTGCATTGAGTATGTCGTAGGTGACGCCATCTTCACCAGGTGCTGTACTTTTACCCTTTTTCATAGCGCCCCTTACTTCTTGGGCTGTGATTGGTTCCCCATACTCGTCATCACTAGACAGTGCTCTTGTTATCCTAATTCTTCTGTCATCATGTCGCAGGAGCTGTTCCCTGCTGATTTCTGCAGGGAGGGAGGAGGAGGATGCTGCATCACTCCACTTGTGAATTAGTTCCTCAGCCTTACCCTGGGGGTCTTTGTGAGCCGCAGGCCGGGCTCTGCCCCCCTTAGCTATCTGAATTTTTGCCCACACTTGTCTTGCAGATGTTTCCCGTCCAATAGAGCTAGTGAACTCAAGCCATTGTCTTTCCCGCTCTTTAATCTTCTCTTCCCTGGCTACTTGACACACTGTCTTAAACAACTCTTGGTTACTTTCAGTGGGATGTCTCCGGTACTCTCTACTCATGTCTCGCACATTTGCGTTAAGCATCTTTATGTAATCATTCTCATACCATTTTATTTTCTTCCTCTGAGGGTTACTTCGCCCAGGCGTACGGCGCGGAACTCTTAGACAGCTCTCAATTTGGTGGTTAAGGTCATCAACAAATGTGTTAATGTCTTCTGGGATTTGGTATTCCGTGAACCAGTCACTCATCCTGTTTATGAAGTGCGGCCTCATATCTGGTCCGAGTGATAACCTTTTTCTTTTATTTGTCTCTTTCCTTCTCTTGCTCATGTCGACGGTGGTAATCAGTGCCCAATGGTCACTACATAAACTGTGCACAATGTGTGTACTGGCATCCGTGTCCTGTGCATTCAGCAGGAGAGCATAATCTAATCTTCCTCCTCTGAGGTGAGTTGGCTGTTCATCACCCAGGACCCTAAGGTTTTCACTTCCCCTGACAAAGAGTGACAGTTTCCGTCCATTGACATTGGGCTGATGACAGTTGGCACCAAAGTGTGGGTGTCTGGCATTCAGATCACCAACCAGCAGGGTAGGTTCTTCATTAACAAACTCAGGCAGTGCGTCAAGGTCAAGTTTACTCTGTGGCACATATAGGTTGATTATATGTAGAGCATTATTGTTTAAGTAAAGGGTTACTCCCAGTGATTCAAACTCATCCCCCATGTGCAGGTCATCAATAATCTGTGCGGGAATGTTGTTATTTACAAAAGTGATGAGACCCCGTTTTCTTTCCCCATGTGGCAGGGAGAACTTGCGATAACCGCTGAACCTTGGGTTGAAGTCATCACCTACCATTGTCTCCTGTAGCACTATGACGTCAGTTTGGTGTTCACGAGCGTATTGTATGATGTCATTAATTCTATTGCGAACGCCATTGCAGTTCCATTGTAGGATAGTGAGACTTTCTTCAGCGTGGTTATCCATTGTGGAGGTGTTGGTCATCAGATGTGCTGTGTGTGGTGTTGTTGCTGGTGAGAGTGTGTTCACTGGTGGTGTTGTATGTGGTGTTGCACCACCGTCATGTGCTGGTGGTACTGTTTGTATGCCAGTGCCAGTGGTCAGTGGTGTTGTGTATATTTATATATATATTTATGTATATTTAAATATATTTACAAGACCAATGTACAATATATATAATGTGCAATATATTTACAAGCTATATACAAGACCTGG